CTGTGTACTTCGAGAGAAGAAGAATAAAAAAAGCTTCGAAGAAAAATGTGTTTTATTTTTTGATGTATGACATAATCCTTTTTTAATTATTCAAATTTGTATTTTAAATTGCTGTTTCCTATCATATGTTGATACTGTTTACCAAACTTAGTATAAATATCGATAATTTTGGAATCCTTCTAAAAACGAAGGCGTGGAAATCACCAACTTTCGTATGCTAAGTAACTTTTAACATTTTCATCCATAAAAATTCGCCAAATTGGGCCAAGATATTTGCGATAGTACTTAAGTCCAAAATGACCGCTACTTCTGGCCTCAGTATTGGGAAAATTCTAAAAATGACTAGTGCCTGCCATAAAAAAAAAGGATTTGTATTGGTATGAGGATGTAAACCTGACCAACATAACCAAATCAGTGTTTAGAGATAAACTTTCTGATCTCACTTATATAACATGGCGGACATATTTGTTTATCACATTTTAACATTTCTCCTTAGACCATTTCTGGCAAGGTCCCCGTGAATTTAATTGCTAGCAATGGATAAATGTTGTGAGAAACACATTTATATTTCTTATTGGATGACCGCAGGCCACGAGGCACGGGTCCTAAGTCCCGATGCCTATTCCAAGTATACATTCATAAGAACTCAAGCCTCTATTAGAGAAGCGGCGGTGCTTTCCATCATTTTTAACCTTATAAGGTGCAAAATTATGCAAATTGTATTTCTCTAACAAGTTAGAGTATATGCGCCGTAAAATTTCGCTAACTATTCAAAACATGATACGCTGAAAACAGTACAATTCGGTCTGAAGCCGGGGCATAGAAATAAATGCATGTGTAGCAATTTTTCATATCTTTGTCACTTTTCAAAATAAAAAAGTGCAAATTTAGTTTTTGTAAAATTTCAAGCTACGTTCGTTACAGAGGTTTTTGTTAGTGTGAGATATTCTAACCAGTTATAGAAAGAGTAACATCGAATAATGTCTTCTATATTTATTCAATTTTCGTCCACAGAGTACAAAGCAGATGAGTTTGAAACTGTCGTTTTGCCTGCAAGTACTAATCCACTTTGTTGTCTCTTCGATTATAAACGTAACAGTGCTCTTTCGTCTGGCGTGGGGCTACAATGTAACTTAACATCCGTTTTGACAGTGTCTAAATAATGCAAAGGCCATGAGTCTTTGAAAAAAAAATTGTCCTGAAAGCAGATTTTAATTCGTAATTACTTACTCAAATATTCGAAGATAACTGTTAGTGTATTGCCTTTCATAATATGTTGTAAATTAAAAGAAGTTAAACCATCCAAAAAACTCAAATTAATTGTTTATATGACATTAGAGATCCGAGCACTTAGGTGAAGGGAATTAGTGTTTTATTCGGACATTCTTTTATTGGTACTGGATTCGGGAAAGTACAGTTTTTCATTGTATTTATTCTAGTATTTTTGTAGTTATGTTTATTTTTAACTCATTACTAAAAATGTTAAATTAGTGTTCTTTCACTATTGAGTTAGCCGAACCTCACTGGTTTAATTCATTTTATTACCGAGTACACCCATTTTTAGCACAAATACTTAAATACTCCGACTAGGCTTGATTACTTAAAAAGATTTACTTAAAAAAATAGAGCTGTGTCCTTCCGCAGCAAATGAATTACTTCCAGAAAGGGAAGTTATTATTTTTTGGCACATAGGACATTATGTTCATTAGATACAGCTTTACCTGGGTGTTAAAACTGATGGTGAGAGGTAATATTTATGCTTGCTTTTAAATTAATTTTCAGTACTAGTTTTGAGATTCTGAATCCTAATGAAGATTCGTGGAATTATCAATAATAATTTCAATTAAGATTGGCAGGATTGGTGTGGAATTATCAATGATAATTTCAATTAAGATTGGCACTGAATTGCCAAAGCTCCCAGGCAAAGTAAATGTAGAAAGTTCTTTGACAAATCTCAATTTATCTTTCGGAAAATATGAGTAATAATCTCTTCCATTTTAAAACCGGGTTTTAAATTTAGCTCATTAAATCACTCAGTTTTAAATTTAGCTTTAAATAAATTTCTGAATTGAGCGTAAATCGGTTTATGTTTAGCTTAACTTCATATTTCGTAAGATCCTCCAAAATTCTTAAATTCTTAGATGTTTACGTCAGTTGAAAACCATTCTAGTTTAAATATATACATATTTTTTGGAGGAAAAAATATCTAGATAAGGATTTTTAAATTTCATTAAAAGTTCCCTGAATTTTGAGTTCAGTGAATCGTCGTCCCGAGGCCCGGTGGCGCAGTGGCTAGCGCATCGCGCAGTAGCACCACAGGTCCGGGGTTCGATCCCCGAGCTCGAGCGAGGTCGACTCAGCCTTTCAGCCCTTGATTTCCATCCTTTGGTTCCATAAACTGAGTACCAAGTTCGCTTGGGGCTAAACACTGGGGTACTGCGACAAGCTGAACACTTGTTCAGGGTATATTCTTACGCAATACCGGGGTCCACGATTAATAAAGGAGATTTCGGGCCACTACAGGCATTTTGTTTTTAGAATCCTCGTCCCTCACGAGAGAAATCAAAGTTCCGAAAAACAACCTAGGAACAAATATCTATACTCCAAAACCACCGCTTCCTCTCAAAGAAAGAAAGAAGCAGTTCCATTAAAAAGAACTTCCATAATCCACTCCAATTCCTTCTTTTTCATTCAATCATTATAAATTGTGCCGAAGTATTGCATTTAAGTGCAACGTAACTGGGCCATGATAAGTATACCCAAAGGGCACATGACATATCTATGTATTCATTTTTCAAACTTTTATACTACAAAAAGATACGAAAAAACTGGTGGTTAGTTATTTGAGAATAATTTTATTATTTAATGTCGGATTATATTGAATTTTAAAATCTATTCTTTTCTTGAGTCAAAGCTTGTTTATAAAAATTCGTTTCAAATTTTTCATCCATTCCGAAAATGCATATCTTCACTTGAAACTCAAAGAAGAAATTTGCCATGTTTTGCTTTCAACAGACAGTGTATGGTTGTCCCTCTTTCGTTAATATTAATAATTGAAATACATATTTGCGTGTGTGTTATTCAGTTTGATAAAATATCAATTTGTTTCGCACCTCTGGAACAGTAATTAAAGTATCTCTAGAAATCTAGAGTGTGACGTGAAATGCTCTCTTTTTCTTTCTCTTTTTTGCTCAATATATTATGTGTAACATACTTTAATATTTTATGCTCACATTTCAGTTAGAGTATTATTCACAGAACCTACGAAAAGCCTCTGCTATCGCTAGTCAGCTTTCTATAATTATAGGAAACTTTCCTGGAATGTTTCTCAAATAAAGTGTGAAAGATAACCTACGCACTATAATGCCGACTCTATGCTACGCTTCTGCAGTCTGGCCGTTAGACGCAAATGCAGAATTCCAAAAATTTATGTAGTATAGAAAAATATTATGAGAGAAACGAACTGATAAATAATGACTTAAAAATTGATCCTATAGTGGAACATATAACTAAACTAGCGTTTTTCAAAACTGGACTTATGATGCAATTACTGTAATGATGCAAATTTTTCAGAAAGTCTTACTTGCCAAATCATTCCTAGCAGATGACTGGACCAGATAGTTTTCTAGTGGCGCGCTTAAAGACCATAATTTCGTAACCTAGCTTTGACTGCTGAGTTTTTCAAATTTTTATTTTTTTTTATTTTTTTGCGCGGAGTGACTTTTATCTCTCGCCGCTTTTCATACGATTGGCACTCATGCCAGTACAGGAGACAATAATGCCCCCACTTTCACCTCACGTTTTGTATGTTCTCGAAGTTTTGACTTCTAGCTCGTAAGCCATATGTTCTCAGAGGCTTTATTTTGTTCTAGCGTTTTAAAGTCCCTCCACTGGCTATATAAGCTACTTCATAATTCTTTTACGAGCAGTTTTTGGGCCGTTTGAACCTAAAGCACTAAAGACATTGAGAGTGCAATAATCTTCAAAACCGGTGGAAGAGTTCTCATTAAAAGGACGGAGGAAAGAAAGATATTACAGAATAAAAATATGAACTAAAACGAAAGTTTCAAATAAAATAGAAAAAATTGTATAATTTTTTATACAATTTTTTCTAACATTAATTCTAACATCAACTGTAAAATTGTGTAATTTTTTATACAACAATAAATGGAAAGCGAATATGAATATGGTTTGCAATTAATTTTATTTGGAAGGTCAATTGACTCGACGTATCAGATTTCATACATTCGACGTTTACAAAACACGAGCTTTTTACACGAAGTAGAAACATTTGTTAAGCATATATCCGGGTTCACATCAATTGTAAAAGTTTTATTTTTCCTTAATCTCCATGCCACCAGCAGGCGAGGGGTAAAATCGATGTATCTTAAAATTATTATATATTTTACTTCGCTCTCTAGTGTATTGTAGCAAATTACAAATGTCTTTGAGCCAAATTGGAGCGCGAAAGTATTGCTGGATTTGGGAAAATTTTCTAACGGAATCTGCAGACGATTGCTAGTATGATTCAGTACGAAGTCCAAATCCGGAATCGTCAAAACTTCGGTCATTCCAAATTTTGGGATTTCCTGATTTTAGCTCATGAATGTAAATCCAGTAACTTAAAATGTAGAAATTACAAAAGTAGAAATGTTAAATAATGAAGATACGAGGCACGTCCAGAAAGTAAGTTCCGTTTCAATTTATCTCCGCTGCAGCTCTGCGATCGCAGTTCCACACATGCGCAGTAGACGCTCTGTATCAAGGAGAAGAAACGCGCGCCATTTGGAGATCGCTGTCAGTCACGTACGCTTTGTTGTGCTTGTTTACAATGTCGCTGTTGATTGAAAATCCCGCCGCTTGTGAAATCAGATCTGTGATTCGTTTTCTGAATGCGAGGAAAGTGAAACCTAGTGAAATTTATCGGCAAATTTGCGATGTTTACGGCCCAAAAGCGATGAGTGATTCAATGGTGAGAAGATGGGTCCGAAAGTTCAATGATGGACGTGCACTATGAAGAAAGAAATGGGCGTCCATCTTTGGTTACAGAAGAACTGGTTCACGCGATTGTTGACAAGATCCATGAAAACCGAAGGTTTACAGTTAGTGCTCTCGCTATGGAATTTCCCCAAATTTCACGATCACTAATGCATGAAATTGTTACCGAAAAACTGAAATTTCGTAAACTTTGCTCACGTTGGGTACAAAAGTTTCTTACTGAGAAACACAAAACAAAACGGATGGGTAGTGCACTTCAGTTTTTGACCCGTTATGCTGAAAGCGGCGAAGAATTTCTGACACAGATAGTCACAGGAGATGAAACTTGGGTTTCTTACGACACCCCTGAAAGTAATCAATGGAATTGAGGCACACTTCATCCCCAGCAAAGGTTAAGCCGAAGCAAATCTTGACACCTCGAAAAATGATGTGCACAGTGTTCTGGGACTGGAAAGGCATCTTACTCATTGATTTCTAACTGCGTGGTCAAACAATCAGAGCAGATGCAGATGCGAGACACTTCGGAAATTGCGCCGCGCAATACAGAATAGGCGCCGAGGATTGCTGTCAAAAGGTGTTGTTTTTCTTCACGACAACGCACGACCACACACTGCAAATGTGACGAAAAACCTCCTACAGGGATTTGGCTGGGACGTGTATGACCATCCTCCGTACAGCCCTGACCTCGCTCCTAGCGACTTTCATCTGTTCTTACATCTTAAGTCTTTCCTTGGCGGTCAACACTTGAACAATGACGATGAGCTGAAAGAAACTGTTTCCAACTGGTTGAAGACACAGGCGGCAAATTTCTATGAAGAAGGTATACAAAAACTTGTGCCACGCTATGACAAATGCCTGCAATATTTCGGCAGTTATGTGGAAAAGTAGTTTAAGAGTTGTTGAATTTTGTGCAATAAATAACTTTTCTGTAGCTGTACACAATTTACTTTTATTACCAAACGGAACTTACTTTCTGGACGTATATAGTATAATGACCTGATGGAATAAAAAATTATCAATATCTCAATAATTGCTTGCGCATTTTATTTAACACTTTCTTGTCGACGTCCATTAATCATTTTCTGTTTATTAAACGCTATTTTAATAACTTTCTTCAACTTTACAGATAGGCCTGCTGAGAATTCCCACTAAATTCTTACTGGGATTCTTTCATTCTCAAATACCTCTTTGTCAGTTTCTTCCCTAATAGCAGCGATATTTTCCGGATTTTAAACTATACGACAAATACTGTCGACCGTCAGTTGACTGCTGATTAGGACATTGTCATCTGAAACAACACTTCTGACACATCATTTGATTTATAATTACTTCACATTTCCTCACAGATTCCAATAAATAGGAAAATTTGCCGTTCAAACTCTACGGTCAAAGTAAAAATGCTGTTTTTGCCTAAGTTTGGAAATCCTACTTTTTTTAAGCTCTAATCGCACCAAGACGCTTATAGAAGGCAAGATAGAAATAAGCTTTCGCTTCGCAGCTTTTCCTACAGCTCCAGAATTAAAATATATTTTAGACATAAACGTAAACTCAAATTTTAATTTTCAGAAAATAGCTGTAATAATATAAATCTGAAAAAACTAACAAATTCACATGGGCGTTTCCTATGATTTTCCGTATATTAATTTGGATACGACCACTTTCTCATTAGAAAATTCTTTAGTACAGCATCACTCCCGTCAGACAGAGAACTCCTGCGTCGTATTTCGAAATAATGGAATCCGACTTAATCGATATCAACCCCATCCATAATTTAACACAAAAAGTTTTAATCTTAAATATCTCTCTGTGGAACATAGACATAGAGAAACTGTCACCCCAAATTTACATTCATCGTTGTGTTACCTTCTATCCATTTACCGGCGAACACCTCATTAAAATCTCGAGTAGCAAAACGCAGAATGACTGCAAGTTTATAATAAAACAACGTCATTTGCTTCGTTATATAAATTTTCTTTTTAGCTCAAAGGAGCGTTAGCTCATAAGGGCTATTAATTTCGTTTTGCTATTTTGCGTCGATTCTCTGTAAATGTCTTTATCACCTTTCAAACATTTGCCACCAAATATATTTCGCCCTGTGTTATATTTAAAGAAATTAAATAATGAAGAAGCTGCTTACAAATATATATGTTTCTCACATTGTGATAAAACAAAGGTATGTAGAGCACATTCAATTTTTGAATTACGAAATCCTTCTCTGAATGTGGGCATCAAGCCTAAATTTGAAATTTGAAATTTGATTAATTATTGATTTCATATTTTGTAACACTTTAACGAACTTCTAATTAACAAACTCAAGGATTTCAAACAGAGCAATGGCACGACTGTACGGTAAAGGAAAACATTTTTGTCTCCAGCACACGAGTTTGTGTATCGGAAATTCTAAATATAGGCTCACTTTAAAATTATTTTACGATATTGCTGTTGAATTGAATTTTATGTTAAAAATGAGAAGATGATATTTAATAAATAAAGGTAACGCCCAAAGCATTAAAAAACGTCCCTTTGGGAGTAATATAAAATTTGAAGACTTTCAGATTTATTTATATGCTTTAGTTTTGTTTACTTATTTTTGTAAATAGTATCCACGCCTAAAACAGGAACATAATATTCACTAAGTGTGTTTTTAAACCGCAAACGTTTTTTGTAAAGCCTTGCCAAAGCTTCTAAAGCGTTTTCTCTTTAACGTGTTGTTTTTCTAAAGTGTACTTCTAATGTAAAGGGCATTTGGAATATCTGTAATTTCGTTATGGAGAATAAAATTCTGAGCCAGAACGGTAACAATACCTTGTATATGATTATTTGATGTATCTCATAACACGATTTGTGTTTGAATTGCTAAATATTCTGGATGCGAGACAGTACCACCTAAATTCTATGAGACTGAATTTGTCTCCCTCTCTGTAATTGTTACCTATATATATGAAAGGAAAAGCTGGGAAAAAACTGTTAGCTGTCACAGATTGCATACATAGGACGCATCGCCCTATATGAAATAGTGAGTCACGAACCTAAATTGCTTGAACATAAACCGCGTACTCTGATAATGGCCGAGCAGTCTCGTAAATTAATCATCGAAAAAACTCGGCGCATGATTGATTTTGACTCTTGTATAATGCTAACAACAGCTAGTTTTTCCTAAAAGGATCTCACCAGATACATGGCTAACCTTAAACTGAAAGCACTCTCTTGCTTTGCTCTAATTAACTAGCCTAGCTTTCAGTATTGCTCGAACAAGTAAGTGAAACACGACACGAAATTTCTTATATTTTCCTTTATTGGATAACGGAACGTAACCACTTTCTTATATTTGATTTTATGATTATTATGGTTTGAGATTGCGCTTTACATGAATCTTACAAAACGTGTATGAACACAATGATTTCCAATGATCCACGGTTAAAGTATTTCAGACTGTCTATGGTATAGTAACCTCTAGCTCCACATCATAAAATTAAAATAGCTTAGCAGAATTAAGAAAGGATACAAAATAGTCGTTAAGGAAAATATAGGAGGAAGTCAAAATGACAAGAACGTTTAGGGAGAAGAAAGGAAAATAATTTGTAGCAATTTCTCTCCAAGGCTACAAATTTTATCTGAATTGAACTGCCATCGTTGAAGTAAGAGATAAATATGTGCACAATTATTTTCGTTCAAGCGTCAAAGAAAACTATAACAAATAAGAGAAAGAGACTTGGCTGTCGTTATTTAATCACAAAATCTCACTAAAATTATTTACCTGCATACTAAATTCGCACAATATAGTATAAGTACACTGCGAAAATAAAATGTGTGAGTTATATATCATATATCTCCTATACTACTGTGCCGATTTACGAAATTCAAATTGCGTTTTTCATGTCTCGAAATCCCGATTTAGGATATTTACTAAATTTGTATACAGAATTTGTTCTAATATAGGTATTTTGACTTTCCGCAATTTAGGATCTTGCCCCTAGACCAGTACCTTCTAGAACTTTCTAGTCTATTACGCAACCGCTAATACAAATAACGAATGCGCGCCATTTAGCAATACAACGACAGAAGCTCCTGTCCTCCTGCGCTATCAAACCTCGCTGCTGCTTTTCTTTGTTCAAAGTATGACACATTAAATTAAAAGTAATCCTAATTAGTGACAAATATTGATGTGCTTCTTGAATCGAAATAAAGCATGGAGCTACAAACTTAAATCCTATTGTGTCGTTATTTGATGTCGTCTTGACACTCAGCCACAGCAATGCCGAGCTTCTTTGTTCTTGTGCCACTGCTGCCGTATCATCACATGTATATAGTTAGACATAAAAAAGAATTAGGGGCTTTGTTTAGTTGCATATATGTAAACTGTGCAAAAAATGGGACAGTTATATATCTCCTGTTCTACTGCGCCTATTGACGAAATTCAATTTGCGTTTTTTATGTATCGAAAGAGAGACTAAGGATATGTATTAGATTTATGTTTGACATTGTTCTGCTATAGGTATTTTGACACAAAATTGGACGTTTTCTGAAACGACATATATTTTTTTTCCTTATTCCGATGCTACTACTCAAATTATGCCAAACTGCCAAGCTTTGTAAAATCGCACAGGTAGTTTTTGAAAACTTAGCTTTCAACATTTTAGCTCCTCCATGTTAATTGAATTTAGGATGTATTTATTAATATCTCTTTTTTATTATACTTATTTGGTTCTTTCTTTCACATTTCGAAATTTAGGGTCTATATGCTCTTAAGTTGCCTTTACTTCCGTTTTAGTTTATCAAGATTTACAATGCGTAAACAGACGATTCTGTGAAATGTAGCAGGTTTTTAAGGGAGAGCCAGCGTTAGATGAAAGTTACAAATTATTTAATATGATTAAATTTACTCCCACAATTCATAAAACCATAAACGAAAGCAATAACAGCAACCCCGCTACAATACAAGCATTAAGCTTGTATTATTGCATTTCCACTAAGAACTGAAATATTTTTATTCATTGAGTTAAAACTGTGTAGAAATAGCTCGACTATCCGACATTGAAAGCTCAACTAACTGGAATACATTTAAGTTTCGAAACTGTTTTATATTTTCTTTCTTGTTATGAAAATTTTAGCAAACGAGAGACTTGTAAAGTCATCATAAAGCGCATGCACAACTACGACTAGCAAAAAATAAGAATGTCGCCAAGCAGTGTGATTTAGCATTAATAATGGATAAGAATGAAGTCACAATACAATCATCCATTGTCTGTTAAGGTGCAGTGCCGGATAGGACTGGCGGGCGGCCGCGCAAATGTCCGTGGGCCCGGAGCGATTTCGGGCCGATCAAGAAACTCGAAAGATCGAATCGACACAGATTCGGCGAGAGAGC